ATTACTGATGCAGACCTACAACTCTCATGTGGACAAAGAATTGTTTTAGTGTTAAAACCAAAATATATTAGTATGTGTGTTTACATGACCTCTGTGAATGTCCAACAATTCCATATTATCAAAATACCAAGAGTTGCAGTACAGGTAGATCCTAGAATAACACAAAATATTATAGTATGTTCATTATATACTCGACGTGCACATCTTCTGTATAAAGAAACGACTTGTCAATATCTATAACAAGCTGAAATCTTCTTTGCACTTGGCCTTTACAGAAGAAGCAGTGCAGGAGAAGAGAGTAGGTGGGGAACTCGTATGATTCTGTCCTCTTCAACTTTAATCAAAAGTACACTGACATGCTGTGGCCCCCTCCTCCTCCTCTTTCATAATAATGGGCCGCTAAAAATTCAGGAGGCAGGCTCCACATCAATCACTCGCCAGATTTGAGTCCAATGCAATAAATATGTAAATGAGGAGAAGCCAATGTCTCGTAGCTTTGAGATCAGCGCGAGGAGAGAGAGAAAGAAAAGAGGAGGGGGGGTTGTATTAATTGCCCATGGCCAGAGGAATCCTATTACTGTGGGCATTGATTATAAAATTGTATGTGTGAATGATTTTCATGCAAAAAGTGGACTACAGCAAGCCTCCAGCAAAAAGTGAAGAAAGAGGGGAAATTAGTGAATTGGGCCAGACTGTGCACGAGAACAAAAAGGAAACGGCAGCCACGAAATGTCAAACGCCAAATCTCAGTCCAAACAAGATTTAGATTATTAGGTTAAGAATTAGATAGAGAGAAGTTAAAGAGAATTTCCACTCCAACACGATAATATATTATTATAAAATGTACCAGTAATAATAAAAAATATGTATTCAGCTGTATATTACGTGTGTGTGTGTGCGTGTGTCTGTGTGTGTGTGTGTGTGTTCAACAGGAACATACTTAACACTCGACTAAAAAGCACAATGGTCAATTCCAAATATTTTTGGAAGCAGTTAAAATCAATTTTGTAGCAAACGTAAGCGTCCAAATCATTCCTCAGAAGACAAATAATATTTATTGTAGGTGGTTTATCTAACAGTGATCACTAGCAGGTATAGATTCAAATTGATTAGCTGTATGGCCTCCTGTTTGACTTGCAGATCTCTCTCTTAATCAAAGCATTTTGTTGAGATAAACAGGGATTAGGCTGATTAACAGAGAAGAGAACATTCAAACATGAGGCTTCACAGGCTTTAATTCACATAATGTGACAAAGTTTAAAACAGGGAATGCAATTTTGTATTTCCATACATATTCTGTTGAGCTGTACTTTAAACTTCTGCATCTCAGTATTATTTAGAAAACAAAATCTATGTTGTGTGTAACATATTTAATCACCATGATAATATTCCCAACGAGTTACTATGCAAAGACACTTTTAATCTTATGTGCTTAAGGTTGAATATTACCAGTAGCAGCTAAAGGGAAAATAGACTCTTGGATATAGTGTATGTCTTTTTATGACTTTGATTTTATTTTTCATTGATAGGAATAAGAGTGGCTCAGATTGCTCAACAGACAAGTGCTTTTCTTGTACACTGCACCAGTGAGAACAATGAGACGGTGGTTGATGAGCTCAGGGTCCCAGAGAAGATGCTTCATGTGCAGCTGAACAAGGCTCGAGACGCAGCCTGAGAGTCATTAACACACCTCAGTGGTTGATGGGTTTTTGTAGAGACAAAAGAAACAGAATGGGGAACACAGACTGAAATTCCTGTCAGAAATGAAAAGGTATTTATGCTGTAAATTTTTTTTAACTGTTACTGATGACTGAGTTAAAGAAATTGCTCAAAGTTTTGGAGCTGATTGATAAAGGTTAAAAAAATCAAATGTTCACAGACATGGCTGCTGATAGTTGAGACAATCTTGAGCTTATACTGAGCAGACCATCATTCCCTGTCACGTGTGTGATGTCATGAAGAAATCAGGAAAAGACATCATGCATTTCAATTGCATAGTATGTACAGACATGTTCTAAAGCTTTTTTGAAAAAAAAACTAATGTACGATTTTATAAATCACACAACTGTGAAGTCTTAAAACTGTCATATGGTGAAGTAATGCAGAAGCTTTTACAACCAATAAGATCAGAGATATGATCCACAGCTTTTTATGGGTTTAACCAATCATTTGCGATCATATTGTACAAATGATGTCATAATGGCGTCATTATGAGAAGGCTTGATTACAATATAAAACACTGGCATTGCCTGATTGGGTAACATTGCAGGGCACATTGTTTTGGTTCCAAATATCCCATGAAAAGCCCAAAACCAACAATAAATCAACCAACAAGTATGTACCTCAGTTCCTCTGTGCTAGATGTCTCCATTTTATCTAAAAGCTATCAAAAACACATCAGTGTGGTACATTAAATTACATCAACATGTTTTATTTGACGCTCTCCCACATACACTGTCCATAAATACTCATTAGCACACCAAATGTGGATCACTCCACCGCTGTAAATAACAATTCGAATATTTCCTTCACTTTGAATGTTTGCTTTAAAGGTTCAGTGTGTAGAATCTAGTGACCCCTCACCTCACCCTCCCCTTCGAAACATGAAAATGAACCTGTGGAAACCTTCAGTTATCAGGAAGTTTAGTTTGTCCAGTTTGTACTAATAAAAAAAAACATGGCAGCCTCTGTAGAGAGGAACCACTCTACTCAGTATTTTCATTTAAAGGGGCCATTCTAGGGTAAAGAAAACAATAATTTGTACAAAAAGATGAAACACACTAGAGATTATTTTACATTCAATTTCTGCCAATAGATCCCGGTCACCTAAATCTTGCACACTGGACCTTTAAACAGTGTTCATCTGCTTAGGAAACGACAGAGGGTGTTTAAAATGAAACTACCAGCGATTTGTTTATTATGAAGATTAAGTCTGTTAATGGGCATGGACAGAGTGGGCAAGTAACAGAGCAGTCAAATGAATTTACTTGCTGTTGTGCCTGGTTTGGTTTTCTTATATGATGTCTTTTAAAAAGAGTATCTCTGGCCTAAACCTTTTAATTTCACTTCCATTGTGTGTTTGGCGTCAACAAGGGCAAGTAAATGCTTATAAGTATCTAATTTTTTCAGCCATAATATTTCCACAAGTTTTTCCGACTTTATTGCCACCATTTCACCATATTTGTATTTTTTAACTGATAAGATTGTAAAAACTATTCCACCAGAAACATAAATGATGAGTTACTAACACATCCATGTGTTCTACAATCGACCCTCCCTGTCTCTCCTGCCCCTCCCCCCTGAACAGCTCCACTGATTCGCTCCCTCACCGCTCGCCGCTCGATATTCGATGTTGGTCCTGTCCCCCTTCATGCTCCTCACCTTTCCCTGACTCTAAAATATTCACTCTGTCACCAGCCATTTCTCCTCTGCTAACAGAGAGGCCTCGACCCATGACTTAAGTGGTATTTTCAGACCAGCTTTATTATTTGCAGATCCACATGTCCCTGCAGAGCTGCTTTCTAAATTATCTGGAAAATACCCAGAAAATTGACAAGATGAAACCCCTTTGTATAAACATGCACGTGCAAAACCACATAGCATATTGTGTGCATTGAATGCCTCATGTAGATCAGCCAGCACTGTCACTGACAGCACAGTTAGAAGCTCCAGCTTTGTTGATGCTGCAGCAGAAATAGAACCTACAAACCTCTTCAGTGAACATGTATTCTTTTCAAAATGTTGTACCAACAGGAAAAACTTAGAGTTGCAGCATTTAGTTCTGACTGTGGACAGAATGAAGAGCCTTGAATGTACAATGTACATGAGTTAAAGTATTTTCTCCATTTATCAAGAACGAACTGTCTGCCTGTCACTGTTTCCTAGAGACCAGTGTAATGTCTTTATCTCTCTTTTAAGCCCAAGGTTTTTGTGACACAAAAGCTTTAACCTCACAACTGAAATACAACCAGACAACGCATGCTCTTTGGTTAATAAAACATTTAAATGATCAGTTTGTAAGTAAAGGAGCTGATAATGAATTTCCTCTCAATCAAGTAAGGTGTGTATGTGTTTGTGTGTGTGTGTGTGTGTGTGTGCACATCCCAGTGTTAAAACCTTTGTTGTGAGAACACTTGGTGGTCCCCAATTGCTCTTTAGGGTTAAAATCAAGTGGTTTTTAAGATGATGAAGATGATATCAAAGTTAGGTTAAGATGTGTGTACGTGTGTGTGACACAAATGCATGTGTCCTATATTTGTGTCACACCATGCTGATCTTTTTGTGTGTAAAAAAAATATAATTTTATCCTTAATAACCTTCTGTAGGTTGTCACACAGCAAATCAAAATATACATATTTACTGGGGCTCTAATTATTAATAGTAGCAACAACAAGAATTATTACAAATCACTGAATAAATTGATTTCCTGGGAGACAGATGCTAAATTGTATGTTAGTATATTCTTCAGTAACTGTGTGCTGGTGATTAAAGTCACTGCAACTGTTTTTCATCAGCTCTCAGATGAGGGTGTATAACTTACACTCTCACATAATACACAGGTCTGTGTCCTGCAGGGAAACCCTCACATTTTGATCTGTGAAAAAGATGCTTCAATCAACTCCTGCCCATTTACATTCAAATACATCAAGAAACTATACCAATCTCACACTTGAATGAACAAGTACTGTAATTCACCTCCCAAATCATTAATCCAACAATAATGATGTGTTTTATTAAACAGTGAATGGCCCGACACATCAGTCCCTTAAAATTAATTTGTACAATCACGTTATTATCTCAAGAAAAACATTGATGCCGTTGTTGGCGGCTCATGAGACATCAATATAAATAATTTGACATTTTTATCACTGAACAAACTATTAGAGTCTTGGATGTTTTGGCTAAATTGGAAACACCATGTATTACGCAGACATCCTCAGAGCATTAGAAGAGAGCTGTCACTTGGCAACAGTTTATTCGTATTTTCTGTTTTTTTTATTTTCAATGAGGACATAATACAAACTACCACAGTGAGCGACCACAGAAATAACAGCTACAAAAATTTGGTTTTGTTTGCATTGAGTCTGAATCAAGTTTTTTTTTTTTTATATATACAGCTGAAATTCAAACCCCTGCATACTTGAGCGCTACGTAAACAACCGACTGTTCTGTACAATTGTCCATTATTCCATATATAAGATTGGACTTGTGTCACGTGAAAGTCAAATAATTTTCTATTCCATATAAAATTTGCAGATTTATAAAGATATCCTTATAAAGGCAAACATGTGTTGACAATCAAATAATTAAAAAGGAACATGCCTGGCAAATGAAAAAGAAAAGACCAATACAAATGCTTCCACGGTCCTGAGAGAGGTTTTTGGTCAAACCTATTAAACATCACAATCATAATCTGTTATTAAATGATGAAATCTTTTATTACATGTGATGAAAGAGAGAGAGAGAGAGGGTGCTGCTCGTCAGTAAAACACTGAAACGTGGTAAAACTGCTGCCATGCACCTTCACATTAACACTTTAAGTCAAATACGTTGCAGAAATTCTCCAGCAATCAATGAAAAAAAACACTTTTCTGCAAACTATAAATGTATTTGTTTTTATTGCTTGATCTGTGTAGCCCAGCATTACGAATGTAATGAGTCAAATTCAAACTGTTAATCGGCTGGTCAATAAACAATCATACCAACATACAAATATAGAGATTTATAAATACAGACAGCTTAGCAGAAATGAAAGCAAATAAATATGTAATTCATTAAATAAATAACTGAATAAATAGATAAATAAAAGTGCATTTCATAACAAACAAAAAAAGACACTGATTTGCCTTCAAAATCCAAGTGTGCCTTGTAGTTGCAGTTTCAGCTGCATCACCAGACAGTGCCTTCACTCATCTCTGAGGAGGGCTGTGACAGCTGGTTGGTGTATCCATTGTCACTGAGGGACACAGTGGTGTAGGGCGTGCTGGGCCCACACATCTCGCTGGAGATGCTGTGCATGGAGCCCGGCCCGCTAGGCTCCGGACTGGGTGAGTCCACAGGGGGATGGGGCGCCGGGTCGGAGAAGCACTGCACCTCTCCCGGACAGTGGTGGCCCGGGTGGTGATGGTGGTGGTGGTGGTGGTCCATGGCTCCTAGTGGAGTGCCGGCGGGGACAGAGGAGGGTACGAAGCCCAGGTCTGCTGGAGTCTGAGCCTGGGACGGTGGGCCCTGGTAGTACTCGTAATTCCCTCCTGAGCCATAATACTCCCCATAATCTGTGTTCATGAAAATAAAAAATATGTGGATTAGTGCAAGACAAAGGTCTAAGTCTGAATTTAAATAGAAGAAACATAACCAATATTAACTTCTGTTTTTTATAATAACGACAAAAAATATATAACAAAACAATAAATGAATTGAATTAATTAGTGAGTTACATAAAGAACCAAATTTCATGCATTGATATTCTGATGAGCCTGTTCATCAAAAGACCATCAACTTCAAATCAGGAAACGCACCATCCCTCCATCCCCCTCAACAAATACCGTGACTCACCTCCATAATAAGAGAAGTGTCCGAGCTCTCCAGGCTCCAGTCGCTCCCCAAGCGCCCTCATCCTCCTCGGACCGCGGAAAAACACGTGCCTCCGTGTGCCCAGTGCGCTCAGCTGCTTCATGCGTCTCTCTTTAGACCTCCGGTTCTGGAACCAGACCTTCAAGACGCACAGAGAACAAGCGAGGGTAAGAGACCACGAGCAGCATGGAGGAGACAAGCAGGGAAGGCAGAGAGCAACTTTTCAGAACTGTAAAAGCCCTATTTGATGACGTTATCTTACAAACTCAGAAGTAAATAGGCTCATATTATTTTGTATTTTATTTCAGTAATTCAAATTACTAACCTGGAAAAGATATTCCTGTGCGTAAAAAGTAAATTTGGGCACGAACTGATGCTCTGCGCACTGAAAAACCATTCACTTTTAAGGCATTTCCCATTTATTACAGGGAGCTTTTTACATGGGCCTTAGAGCTCAGTGACGCCTGCGTTTAATGGGTGTGATATACGTGCGTCATTGGAAGAGTAGGGATTAGGGGTTAAAATACTTGGGGGGTTTTTAAAGTGAAAGGAAGAAAAATTTGAAAATCGGCAGAGGATGAGGACAGATTCTCTCAGGGTGTCTGCAAGAAAGAGGCATCAGCCACTGCATTGATGATTTGTGTCCATGGAAAGGTCGTTAATGCGCATTGGCTGTGGATAATTTGGACCTTGACTATTCTCTGTCATGAAGGACCTGTTTGGCTAGATTTGTATGGCTGTCCGATAATGCGTGCAAAGTGGTCACATGGCATATAATAAACACTCTCTTTGTTTTTAACGTTTTTATCTCTGTTTTTCCCCATTATTTTCTTCTTACTTGGATGACTCTCATGGTCAGGCCCGTCTCCTGCGACAGCTGCTCCCGGATGTGCCTGGTGGGCTTCGGCGTGGCCGTGAAAGCCGCCTTCAGCGTCTCCAGCTGCTTGGCTTTTATCGTGGTGCGCGGCCCGCGTCGCTTCCCGACGGCGCCCTGCTCCTCGTTCTCGTTGCCGTTGTCTTTGTCGGACAGGTGTCCCGTCTCCGAGTCCTTCCCGTCGTCCTGCGGGTCCTGGGGGTCCGGGGACAGGCTCGGGTCGCTGGACGTCGTGACTGTCGTGAGAATAAAAACGGATTAAATCATGCACCCGCAAAACCCCATAGAAATAAACCAAACATTTAAAGCAGATCATCAATACAGAACAAAATAAATATGAAAGAACTGTAATAATAAATATCTATAAATATTATTTGATTTAGAAAATATTAATTATAGTAATTATAGTATTTTTGAAATATTTGATTTTGAAAATTAAATAATATAATATTAAACACAAAATACAATATTGCTTTATTATTAGTATTTATGTTTGTACATATAGGCCCATACCTGAGAGGACAATGGTGTCCTTGCCGTTGTTGTTCTGATAGTCCTCTTTGCAAACGAACTTGAACTCGTCCAGGATGTAGAGCTCCTCTCCCGTGGACAGCTGCTTGTTGCACATCACGCAGGTGAAGCAGTTCAGGTGGAACACTTTGCTCTTGGCCCTGCGCACCAGATCGCTGGGTAAAATCCCCTGAGCGCAGCCGCCACACTTGGTCCCAAACCTCCTGCATGTTCGAAAGGGAGAGGGGCGGTCAGTGCACATATAGGTGGGATATAAGCATGACTCGGATTGAGGTGAATTTCTGCTGGTTTTACAGTTTGGCACAACCGACACTATAGGCCAGAGGTCTCAAAAGACACCAGGAGCTGTTATAGGGTCAGTTGATCGACAAATACACCAAATTAACCATCAGATATGTTACTGGTTATTTTTGCAGGCCTGTGTTAAAGCGCTTTGTTGGGGAATAATTTTCGTCCCTGACTTTACTTGGATTTGGATGGTCCGATAATGGGTGCAGGTGACATATACTAAACCTCCCCTCCATATTTTGAACGTTTTTATTCCACCTTTAAAAAAAATCCTTTTCCACTTTTCTTGTTATGGGTGACTCATGTTGAGGCCGATTAAAGTTTTATACTACTCAGAACCAATGCCTCACGTCCTATGAAATTCCATGGAACCTAAAATAACAATGTATTATATAAAATTATACATTTGCAGACAATGTTTTTTTCCAACCTACATTTTTTTTTGTAATTTTGTAATAATGTATTCTCAAACGTATAGACTATCAGCACCCACAGTTGAAGTCCCACCAGGAGTGCTATATCTTAAATTACTTCATTTTTATATATGTTTTGCAACTTACCTTGCAGGATCAAATTCCACGTCCTGTTTGTTTCTAATTGTCTAAACAGAAATTTAATTTGTGACAAACTTTTGTTTTGCATTTTCTCAGCGTAATTTTCTTTTTTTCATTTTCTTTTTCTTGGCTGCTTACCTAAAGAAGTCGTTCTTACAGTACAGCCTCCCCTCCCGTGAGAAGCACTTCTCTGTCAGGCTGCATTTGCACTCGCAGCACTGGACACACTGGATGTGCCACGGTCTGTCCAAGACTTTGAGCAGGAACCTATCGACGATAGGCTTCTCGCAGCTGGCACACTGCAGCATCCTCCGGAGTTATCCCCACCCTGGTAAACACGCTGCGTCTGTCCCCGACGCGTCAGCCTGGGTGTATATAAATGATCCAGCGAATCCAAAATGCATCCAAGCTGATCTCAGAGTAATAACATCACCATCCGCGAGGTTAGACTCAGCTTCTCCGACAACGATCCACATGTGGCTGTGGCAGATCCAAACAAGAGGTCAGCTGCAGCGGGGGAACAACATCAGGCAGCAGAGATCACAGGCTGGGGATCATGATCCGAAGATATAGGTACAATAAAAAGAGAAGAAAAGACTATGTACCCATTGGTGGCGATTGCATCAACTCAATATATCCTGAGGAAAATAATGCGCCATCAGTGCGCTGAGCTTTGTTTGTGTCCCTTTACGCTCCGAGCTGCTCAGTGTGAGACAAACGTGGAAATGAGCGCACCTCTTAAAGCTCAGCCTATTGGCTATGGAGAACAATGTGACGTCAGAGCCAGGAAACACCTATAGGAGGACGTTTCCGTTCGCACCAATGTGCACTTCAGTATTAAAAATGCCAATGTTTTATTTTATTCTGACAACCAACGCACTCCAGTATTATTAGGGTGTGTGAAGGAAAATCTAAATACGCAGGGTGAAAATAGATAGAATAAAAAAAGAAATGAAATGAAACAATAACCTAAAAAAATAACATGGACTAGAATAAAAATAAAAATAAATAAATGACTCCACCAATAAGATAAATAAAATAAAAAATCAATGGGACTCCCAGCCAACTGTTCATCACAGATTACTATCGTCCTTTATTTCAACAATAACGTTGTTTTTTTTTGTGTCTGTATCAGTGTGAGGGAAAAGAGTCACTGATGATATCACATGAATAAATTATTTCTCCTGCAGCCTGGTTAGAATAAGACTTCATCAGATACCATGGGCCTGCTGCAGCAGCAGCAGCCATGTGGACACATGGACGTGCACGGAACACCAGCTTCTTTTTTCACCACAATGATTATTAATGTTGTGGCCCATGTGGCGTTATTCTTCATTTGGTGTGAAGGGACAAGGGTCACTAATGGTTATAATCTGCGGCTGATAGGAGGCCTCTCACAGATCTTATCGCACCGTGATGGTGTTGCTGTGCGCGGAGATAGCGCGTTTCCCACACTGGCTCCCAGCTCTGGAAGTCCCTGATATAACAAAGAAAAAATAACTCACATCCAGACACCAAACAATCAGAATAATTGGAGGAGTTAATATTTCTCATTAATGCTTTTCTACCTCCCAAAGTATAAATTATTTGAACACTGGCTCGTTTGTTTTAATATTTTTTGTCTGTTTTTCGTTCACTTTCAAATCTATTAATTTGGAAAAGACTGCATTGATCTGTGCCAAACCAATAACTCAAAATCAATCAAATAATCCAACATAAACAAGAAAAAATATGAAGCCATTAAATGAATGGATGAATGAATTAATACCTCTTATGATCATGAATAAAAAAAAACATGCTGCCCCCCCCAGCAAATGTCTAATATATACTAGTGTGTCATTATGTTTTTGTGTTGTTAAAACAAAACAAAAAACAAGGCATTTGTCAATGAAAGCCTCAAGTTACTCAGTAAGCTCCTCATTTCCTATATGATGCTCAATATACGTTTCTTCTTTGTGCCACTTTTGCTGTAGACAGTCACGCTTCATGAACTCACACTTTTTCTAACAACTAACAACATAGGAGCATGGGCAGAAATCTTGTGGTGAATGATTTGAGTTGGTATTTGTGTCAGTCTTTCCTTAAATCTGGAAAGAAGCTGATAAAGAGGCTGCATGCAGGCTAATATGTTTTTAAACCTCTTACTCACATCCATCCGAGAGTAATTTCTCTATGTGTTCTCTAAACACTGGAGGTGGATAAAACTCAGTAGAGAGAATCAGCAGTCCCTCCATAAATAATGAATAATGGATGATGCGTCATAATGTTAAGATATGGGAAATCATAGTGGCTAAATACGTTGAAGGAAACATTTTGATGTAAAGGCAGTATTTATACAGACAAATTGAAGATTTTCTGTAATTCAGTTTTCTCTGTCAGTTGTATTTGTTTTGTTGTCTGTCTCTGATTTGCCACTGAACCAGAGAGGCACAAATTACAGGGGACGGCTGAACTGCACAAGAAAAGTGAAATGACCATTTTCACCATTTGAAAGTGTAGAACGTGTGTTTGGTTTCATACAAAACCAAACAGAAAACAAAGCTCCATGTTGCCCTGAGCACAGACCTCAGATGACTTACCAACAATGATACTAAAGACTTCTCGTACATCTACTCTTCAATCTGATCTCTGATGTGACAATGAGAGGACCAGGGTGAAAGTCATTATCTCAGTGGTGAATGGTGTGGATAAGTGTCTCCTTCTGGGTTTGCGTCTCACCATGAGAGGTGTTGATTAGAGCCTGGCCCAGTGAGCTGGCCCCCAGCATCACTCCAACACACGAGAGGGCTCAGTGCAGCGCTGGAATCTGGCAGGGTGCACGCTGTTTGTTTTGGACTGGAAAAAAGAAAAGAAAGCATGTCATTAGTATTTGTTAATTGCAGCTAATTGGCCCTGACGAGATGAACAAGACCACCCACTGGGAATATTCATACAAATAATATGTAGACAACAAAATTAATTACTAGATGCTAATTAAAGTCAATTAAAAGCGATTAGGAAGCAGTGCAAGTTACAGAGAGGAGGGTAACACCTAAGCTCTTGGAGCTCCCTGATGCAAAGAACCAGTGGCCTTTATAGCTTATAGACATCTCCAGTGTCTGATGGTGATGATTATAGTTATACTACACAATGTCTAATTAAGAAGGTAGATTATTAACTTAAAGACACAGTTTGCTCCAAGTTTCACTTTACTTTTACTTTGAATGAGCGTCTGCACCATTTGGTGGAGCAGGTTTTTTGCTGGTATTTTGTTGACCTTAGATCAGCCTTATTCAGCATCTCTACAGCTCAGTTTAAGATCACATTTTAGTGATTTTTATCAAGGAACTTAGTTTCTTTTTAGTTTCAGAGGTTTTAGCTTGATGCTGTAAGTAGAGGCCAATTTTTGATCCCTTTCTTTAAATAATTATACTTAAAAAACCGCCTTATTATAACTCATTCTCAATATGCAACCAGAAACTAGTGTTATTCAGTTTTGCATTTGTTTAAAATAGAAAAAATAAAAATGACCAGTTATCTGTTTTATGCATTCATCAACTGCCATTGTACTCATGTCAATTCAGGATATATTTAATAAATTTAAGCTTAAGGACATTGAGGACTTTGCTCTGATCTCCAGCAGTGGTACAACTTCATATTTTGCCCACAGGATATAACAATATTAAAAGGCATTATTTCAGCAACTCTGAGACCTCTGCTAAGGCTAAGGCCAAATATACGGCATACATTAAAGAAAATAAAGAATATATATGTTTGATCCACTCCTAAATTAAATGGGTTAGGGTTTTTGATAATCCTAACCTTGTTGTTGGAGGTAATAACTTCATGAAGGTAGGAGTTAATGCAGAACTGTAACCTCTGCCAAGGAGATTATGTTTTCACCCCTCAGTTTGTTTGTTGGTTGGTTTTTGTTACAGTATGAGTCAGGGAAGAACCCAATACGTTTTGGTACAGATCTGTTTCAAAGAGCATTCCAGAAGTTTTATTTTCCATTTTTCTTAAATTTTTCTAAATTCGCCCCATTTTGATAGTTTGTGGATCTTTATGGAAAAAAAAAAGATATTTGTTAGTGTGTGAAATTCGATGCAGCTTGATTGAATGCATGGGGACTGTTGGGCCTTGGTGCGGTATGAGCTCTACTTAGTGCTATTCTAGTTTTAATTCACATATATTGCATTTTTAAATTATAGCTGAGCTGAATAAACTGTACGACCACATTCAAACTGAAACTATACAATGAAAGGTCAACATTTTGTCAAAGCTGACCTCAAGTTCGTAATTTTACAAATTTAAGTCATTCTACTTGTAATAGACTTATTAGTTTTTAGCAATACCTGACCAGAACTAGGATTAACTGATCAGTAGTCAGCCTTTAACATGAAGCAATGTTTAAAATGAATGTCATGGAAAAGGAACAATTCATCTGCTCCTCCTCTGCTCAGCCACTGACCTCAAAACCTTCACAAGTGTAATGTTTGCAGAAATGTTCATGGTCATATTTAACGACTGGTTATTATCCATCTGGCAGTTGCAAACAAAAGGCTGAAGATGATTCCATTTACAAAGGGTGACAATATGTACACACTGGCAGACAGGTGGCTTCTCCACGTGCCAAACACACATTACTGGAACAGTAAATCCCATCAGTGCAGACTGACTGCCACAGAGAGAGGAGTAATCCACAGTGACCACCTCTACGCTGACCTGCCCGCTCATATCAGGGATTGTAGTCTCATGCACACATGTGGCTTCATCAGTCAAACAACTATGAATTTACTGCTGATGGTTTGCACTGCTCCTGTCATCTTTACAGCTGCAGCGACACAGAGGGAGAGGAGATAACTCTGCTAAATCATATCCTAATTCCTCCCGGAGAGAGTCGTGTGAATTAAGCTCATGTAAAACCTCCCATGTGTATAATCAAACAGCTATTATGATGAATAGAGAGGAATCAGTCCTGCTGATCATTGGTCTTTTTTTTTTTGTCAGAACAAAACTTGTTCCTCAGTTAGTCTGCGCTGTACTGAAGCATTGAGATGGTCATTTCATGCACAGTACTTGATTATCGAGATTGACGAAAGGATAGCGGCGAGTGGTGGGGGTTCAAGCAGCGTTGTGGTGTCTCTGTGAGTGGGAAGAGGGGATGCACATAGAGGGAATCCTAGAGAGTGAGAGTGATCTGCCTGAGGGGGCCGTTCAGAGAGAGGGCCCATGGGACGGTGTGGCCCCCGGCCCTGCGGTGATGATGGTGATTGATGCAGGCACAATTCAGACACCTCAGACGCCGCAGCAAATTAAAAGGCTATTTTGTAAAGTTGTAAAGGAGCTGAATGGCAGACGGGAGCGATGAGCCGCCCCCTCCACCACCTCTTCGCCTCCCTCCACCCCAACCCACCGCTCTGTCACACCATCAACTTCTGTTTAGTTTCCTTGGTGCCATCAGTCCCTCGAGGGAGGAGAGCTATTACGAGGCCTTTCGCGTTCTCTCCTACTGGAATACACCGCCGAAGCTGCCTGTGCACACAGCGTAAGTGTGTGTGCAAGGAGGGTAAATATAGATCCACGCACAATGGAGAGACTGTAAAGCGATCCATGAGTCAGTGGAAGAAAGAAAACAAGTAAATATTGATCTTGGTATGAATGAATGACTAAAGTCTCCACTTCCAACCACATCCTGTGCATCCTT